TTATTTTGACACACATACACCGTCCTGCTGCCCGAGATACTCAATAGAAAACCAAATGTGGATTCATTAGCCACTGAAAATAGTCCCTAACAAATGCAGTTTCTCATCCTGTAAGTGTTAGGATATTATAGGATATCAATAATTTGTGATATTGGGTTTTATAAATAAACTTTGATTGATTGATTGATGGATGGATTGATTGATTGATTGATTGATTGATTGATTGATTGGTTGATTGATTGATATAGAAGTGCCACAGACAATTGGGGATTAGGAAATGATGGAGCAATGTTGCTCTTTTAGTGAGACTTTTTACATTAAGTAATATCTTTTTTTTGTTTTATTGTTTATCTATCATTTACAGTGCGCAGTACATATTGTACCAAATAGTCAAAACCCTTTTTTCACCTTAAAATTGTTGAATAGTTCGAGATTAGGATTCTGACCAAGCTAGTCAGAACATTAGACGTAGGATTATCAACCAACCACCTACTAGATTTATTTTATAGGTTACACTCTAGGCGCTTTATTTTATTATAAAATGTTCACCTAAAACCTATCGATAAAATAGCGTTATATAAGTAGGACTCAAACTGTTATATCGTAAGGCCAAGAATTACATTTCAGGTGCCGCCATGATATTATATCAATAAATTGTCCTGGACTGACATTTAATGCATTGCTCTTCTGACATAAATCTCATAAATGCCTCCCTTTATGAGTCCAAGATAGGAATTATAATTATATTATGTTTTATAGCCTTTCTGGAGAAGAAATGGTTAAAACAAATCCAGAGTGCTTGTGATTATGATCAAATGCGGTTCGGGACTCAAAGTGACTCAGTGCATCTCTGCTTTGTCCTAATGTCACCGTGCATAGCTAGCAATGCAAAAATAACAACACAATCAGCAAAAGTGCATAAAATCAATTCATACTTTCCTCAGACTGACATATAAATGGAGTGAGTTGAACAGGTGGTCTGACTTCATCTAACACTGTGTCATCTCCTCGCTGAGCAAAAATTAATGAAATCACAGCTTAGAGGCACAGGAGACCGGAGCAGCTCGACATGCTGAGTGTTTGTGAGAGCTGCTCCCTGGGGTCACACCAGCACATTGGGATGTATGCAAGGGTGTCAAAACTCAGGATACTGTGACATATGAGATGGACCCTGGTTCAAGAAATCATTAAAAAATAAATACACAGACATGGTTGTTTGGACACGTGTTATAAAAGCTGTTTAAAGTTGAAAGGTGTTAAAAGGCTTTGACCTTAACCACTCGTTTATGTCAGAATACAATGTTACACACATTGTGAATGACATTGTAGTAGCATATTGGAGCTTTTCCCTGCTGTATATGTTTAAAGTTGCAATCCGTAGTTGTTTTAACCATCTAAATCGCAGACGTGTGAATGATTTGGGTTCCTCAGCTGATCCAACCCAGTCTCACGGCATTTCTGATCATAGATTTTGAATGCAAGCTTTGTAGCAGAGCTCTCAAGTCTCACGCATTTTGCGTGAGACACACGCATTTCACTCCATTCACACGCTCACACGCCACACCTTGTATTTCTCACGCAGAGATTTCCTTCCAGGGTACCGCCCAGCAAGTTGCGCCGCAATTTTGTAAACAAACTAGGCTTGTTTGAGACGCGTGCACTCCACTAGCACCCCGCCCCGCCCGTTGACATTCGCGGTACAGAGAGAGGGCTTCATGGGAACTTTGAGGGGAGCCAGAAGTTGGAGTACCAAACACCGCTGCCAAAATCTCACTCTGAACTCTGTTCAAAACTTGAGAGCCCTGTGTATAGAGAAGTATACGAAATGTGCAGACTATGACAGTTTAAAGGTCACATGTCATGCTTTTCCGGTTATTACCCGTCCCCTTGTGTGTTATGAAGGTTTTTCTGCATGTAAACGGTGTGCAGAGTCAAAACCCTCAAAGTACACCCTGTAGCGAGTAAAACTCTAAAACAGAAAATACCTCCCCAAAACGCCTCGTTGGCGTCATCATGACGTCATCATGACGTCATCATCCATTTGATTCTTCCGGGTACGTGCTTACGAAAGCACGTACCCAGAACTTAAATGGGCCAATCCGTGGAGCCGTTACGTTACGTCCGCGGAGCCGTTACGTTAAGCCCCCGCTGATTGGTCCAAATTGACCAATCCACACAGACACACTCAGTGCAGGCAGCCCTGCGGATTTCTGCTCCCTGCTGCAGGCTGATAACAGACAGCACTGAGTGTGTCTGTGTGGATTGGTCAATTTGGACCAATCAGCGGGGGCNTTCCCCAGAACGATGTTGCTTAGCAACCGGCGTAAACGGACCTTCTCGCTATCAAGCAGTGAGCGTGCGATGTCCTGTTCAGATGACGTCAAATCCAACGATGCCATAAATAAACTACACAGAATCACACTACACACCTACGCAATGATTACATTCAGGCAGACTGTAGAATACAACCTCTTTGGACAATTTATATACTTATTGAAAACAAGATACAAAATGTAACACCTTGGAAAATGCCGTTTAATACTTTTTAATAGCCTTCATTTTCGCTAAATTGATTTATCAACTTTTAATACTTTTTAAGACCCCGCGGACACCCTGTAAAGCGTAGTTTTGGCAATGAAAATCTTAAGAACCAGGCTCCACAACAATGCAATAAAAAGGAAAAAATACATATATAAGTAATAAAACAATAAGGATTGTGCAAACTCAATGTAGTCTTCTAAAAACAGTATGCTTTATTTATAATTGTCTCTGGTTGCATGATATTTCTTCGGTGTACAAATGTGCAACTTATAAAAAGCCTAGTTTTACCTTAAATTATAAAATGGATCCTGCAAATGCATTCAGGATTATTATAGCTCAGCATTCTCATATCTAGGTTAAGCATGGGATCAAATTAAAAACTTTGTTTGAACACCTCTGTCCTGATATGCTGCTCTAAACACGGTGCAGACACTGAGTTGCTCAAGTTGCAAACAGTCCCATTTTAGCTCTTGGATGGTCTATTTTCGTTCAGCCTGACCTTAGGGAGTCTTCAACACATATGACTACATGATAATTTATCTATGACTACATTGTGTTGACATTACACTCATGTTTCTGTTTAAATTATATAATCTCTCTTGTATAAAAGGCATCTCAGTGCTACTCAACAGCTTGTTTTAGAGCTGTGGAGTACCGCAGGGATCCACCATGGGACCTTTGTAGTTTTGCACTTTTACTGCCTTTATGTATTGTCATTGCTGCATGAATCAGAATATTAGTTACTTTACCCCCCACATTAACCCTTGAGCCAATATATTAGAAATAGTTAAAACCTAAGAAGCTTTTGAAAGTCACCATACACTAACTCATACAATTTCGAACAATGTCACAATCTTTGCAGAGATTAGGTGAAAAATGGAAATGTGACTTCCGCTTATATAAATGGGTTGGACAACATATAAGCGTTAGGGTTAAAGTTGGGAATGAAGTGGGTTACAAAACATAATTCAACAAAAACACAAACAGCCTCCAAAGTGACCATAAAGTTGAATTAACATTTCTCGAGTACAGTTTCAAAGCTAGACATTATAACCTGCTTCTGAACACCTCAAAAACAAAGGAGATGGACATTGATTTTAGAATAGCACAATCGCCCAACCCTACTCTTTTAAATAGCGAGCCCATTCAATGTGTTACTGAGTACAACTATCTTGGTGTCGTGCTTGACCACAAGCTCAGATGGGATTTGGTCTGAGAAAATAAATGCCAG